TCCGGTTGGCAGAATTCATTATTGCTTATTGACGAGAACAACTCATTATTTCCATATCTCTTTAGACAATGCCTTATCTATATATGAAATAATTCCCGATTAGATTTAGCCTTTCTAAAATCACCTAGTATAGACCACTCCGTTGGGGAGCTAATACTATTGATTTTAGATTGAGTGTATAACATAATTAATGCTCCAACGAAAAAAGAAATATTAAATATATTGCCATTAATAGCTTAGACTCTTTAAATCCTGCGTAGGGCCTTATTTTTAAAGATCTAACTATAATGGTTATTTAATAAATATATTTTCGTGAGACAACCATTCTTGTAATCTAGACTCTTTAAATCATGCGTGGAGCCTTATTTTTAAAGATCTAATCATAATGGTTATAATTACGAAGGCCATAGGGTAATGTATAAAAAATCCCCGCTCCCACTCAATTTTTAATAATATAAAACTAGGGTTTTCAATTCATGATTTAATGCATGCAAAACACCTTAATTTTAATCCAATTAAATTTAGAAAATATATGGATTTTAAATGATTCACTAATATTTAATTTGAGGCAAAAAATAATTTACAAAAATAATTTTTCTGTTTCCCAATAAATGCCCTCAAATTAATTAACAATCTAATCCAATTTATCTTCATAATTTAATTAATATAAATCAAGCCATTTAGTTAAAAAAATCATGGATCCAATGCATGAACAATTATAATAAGTATTAAATTATTACATGCATCAAATAACAGACAGAAGCAATATAAATGGCCAATGGATTCAGCTTTTAACATTTCAAAACTATTCTTGCTGTACAGGCATCCTTTAACTGTCTGTAAACATCCATAAGAAGCTTGTACGCGTCAGGAGAAGCAAAACGCCGCTTGGAACGAGCCCAGAGGACCCCACACGTGCTGGCACGCGCCTAGGGTAGGCTGCAAGACTTGGCACGCACTCCCCCGCGCCCCCACGTGCCGGCACGCGCTTGGAGCACATGGGACGAGCCCTTACGCGCTCCCACGCGCCTGGGGCCCGTGGGACGCGCCTCCACGCGCCTTCACGCGCGTGGAGGACAAAACCTCCTTGGCTGGCACGTGCATTGTGCCTTCTCCTCACCCACTTGCGCCGCATCTGATCCGGGCCACCTCCGACGCCTCTTCTCGCCGCAAGCGAAGCTCCGACCACCGGAAAAACGCCGAAAAAATTTCAAAAAATCCGAAAAATTCCAGAAAATTACTGAAGCATAATTTAACCCTTTCGGACCCTCTTGAAGCTTCATAGCATCCTTTGATGAATATTACATGACTTTAATAAATACTTACAATTTGAAGTACAATAAAAAAAATTAAATTACATCATTGAATTTTCAAACGGTTAAAATAAAGCCTTAATTACATTCATTCAAAAATAAAATTACATTCTATAAACCTATAAGTTTCATCCATGGCCCAAACACACATCATCATCCATTCACAATTATACATACATCATCATGTATTAATATATATCAACATAATAAATCATATATCAATAATTTTATATATGTATATATAATTTGGATCCATGAATATGATTTTTATAAACACATGTTTTGTAGTAATGAATCAAACCATGTGCTCTGATACCACTGTTGGGAAACGTGCAAGTTTTTAAAACTTTTGAGGGATTTGCAATTATGGATCTTGATTCATCACATAGAGGCAAGTTTTATGTAAAGATAAATAAAAGATGATGTATAATTCAATAAACAGATTGAATACTTACATTAAATGTCTGAGTAAACCTTTTGAACTTTCCTCTAAAGTGAATGTTCTCACTTATTGTAGATCCCTTTAGCAAGATCATTTCTCCTTCTTCTTGATTATTATCTTCCCTTTAGGAATCACTAATATGCCTTGATAAATGACCTTGGAATCTAGGCTTGTGGTAGCCTCCTTTAAAAGAGAAAACAAAACCCTAAAATCTAGAGAGAGAAAGTGTATTCCTTTTTCTTGTTCTAAAAGTCACACCTAAAATATACATGAACTCATGTATATATAGGCAAAATAAAAAATAAGAATAAGGAAACAATAAATCATTCTCCATCTCTAATTCAACTTTCTCAATTCTAATATGACTCCAATATCAACTTGGGCTATTGGTAAGAATCCTTTTGGGCTTACTATTTTATTGGCTCCTATAAATTAATAATTGGTCTGGTCCATTAAACCATGGACCCAATTCAATTAATTCATAAATTAATTTCTACTCCACTAAAAGAAATTAATTGCACTCCAATTAAATAGTAAATAACCTCTAAGTCAATGTTGCACTTTGACCCCTCTATGCTTAATTATTTATCGGATAATTAAAGCCATCAATCCGACAATATAATTAATATAATTATTTTGTTACCTTTGATTATTTCCGGCTCAATCACAATAAAATATTTATTTGATAAAAATAATAATAATTTATTAAATAAATATATATAGAAAACATTTGTCTAAAACATACGAAGGCCTTCGAATTTAATTTGTGATCAACCATAATCAAAACAAAATAAATACAAATAGCATTGATGCAAATATTGAGAATATAGACATCTAATTATTAATTACATAACTACCCAAAGTGTCGATCTAAGGATCCCGAGGTATCCGCTGAACAAATCAAAGTAATTATTAATTAATAAAAGAGTCTATACTTCTCTCATGCTTGAGAGTCAAAAACCATGACTTTGATAGAGAGCAATTGCATACGACAGCTCTCGCAATATATCTCAATCTATCGTGGACTCGGTTTAAGTCTTAACTAATTAAATGTCCATCCATAATTACCGACTTTAAACCATTTATGATTACTAATTTATAACATAGTATTAATTGCCATTACATACATATATAAATATATTTTGTAATCAAGTGGACACAATCAATTCCATAATGAATCAAAAAATAATACATTCCATTCACCAATTGTATAATGCTTTAATAATAATATTCAGATAAGAAACCATGACTTTTACAATCCAAAATTAGAATTTGCTATGCTAGGGCACACATATCCTAACAACTACTACAGTATCGAAAGACAAAAAGGTCCTAACAAATACGAATGCGAAAATGAAGGTCAATACGATCATTTGACATCAAAATGTCGACAAAAGGGTCCACAATAGTCCCGTGAGTGATTTAAACAATATTATTGCCTATAAGATATATGAGCAAATATTATTGTCAATAAGCTTGATGGATAAATTATGTGAGTTCTAATCAAAATCAGACATTGTAAATTATTATAAATAGAAGCTTAGATCCCGAATAAGATATATGAGCAAATTCTATGCAATTTTTCTGTCTCAATTTTCGGCCTTGTCTTTTTCTAATTTTTGAGTGTGTTCCTTTAATTGTATTGACCATTCCTGTTGCAAATTTTTGGACATACAAGAACGCTAATCAAAATTTAGTAAGGAAAGTGGTTTAAACAATATTATTGCCAACTAAATTAAATATTTAAAAATAATAATAATATCCACGATGTGACAAAGTGTTGCACGAGTTAAATGTAAACCCCACCTCATGATATCACATTGACATTACGTGATAGGGCTACACCCCTCACATATTAGACATACCAAGAATGTATCATTGTTTACTAAAAAGTAGTTTACTTATAGAAAGTATTTTATACAATGCCTTCAATATTTGTATTTATTTATTATTATTATTATTAATTTTAACAGCTCTACTAATAAACCTAAATCCAAATAGGTCCTAAGAATATATGATATCCAATTTTAGTTGATATTTATTTCAAAAAACAAATCAATCAAATCGGAGAGTGAAAGTCGGTAAAAGAGTTAGGGAATTGAATAAGACTGCCCGTGATGGAGAAGGCAGCGGGTCACATGCAAGTTAAAGTTCTATGTATACCAAGTCAACATCAACCACAATGACACTCCATTTAAAAGCCCTGAAATCCTTTAAAAGAGATTCGGTAGATCGTCCAATCACAACTCATGCCTCATCTTGTGTTTTTCTCACATTAAGCTGAGACTGACCTAGCAGGAGTAATTTTCCCCACAACTATGCAATTCCTCCTCCTAAACCCCTCTTCTTTCTTTACTTCATCAACAACACTATTATTATTCTCTTCCTTTCTTTTTCCTCTATTGTGCATCACCCAAGCACTCATACCACTTCCACCCGATGAATCAATTCCTGCAGTTATCATGTTTGGAGATTCCATAGTTGATACAGGCAACAATAACAACATTAAAACCATAGCCAAAGTCAATTTTCCTCCATATGGGAGGGACTTCTTGGGAGGAAAACCAACTGGAAGATTTAGTAACGGAAAGGTTCCCCCAGACTTTTTTGGTATAACGGAATCCATTTATTTAATGTACCCTCTTTCTGTCTAAGAAAATCTAATTTACTCTCGGATTTTACTATTTTTTCCATCATTTTTTCAGTGGAAGAATTGGGAATCAAAGAGCTTTTGCCTGCTTATCTTGATCCGAATCTGGAAACTGAAGATCTTGCTACAGGGGTCAATTTTGCTTCTGGTGGTGCAGGATATGATCCTCTAACTTCTGAGCTTGCCGTATACCTTTTTTTTTTTCCCACAGAAATTAAAATTTTCTTGTATTTTTTTTTTGGCAGATTACTAATCATTCAATGGTTTTTTTTTTTTGAAATTTTGTTAAAATAAATATTAGTCAGTGATATCATTGTCAGATCAGTTAGAGATGTTCAAAGAATACATAGTGAAGCTAGAAAGGGTTGTGGGCAAAGACAGAAGCAGCTATATCATAGCCAACAGTCTGCATTTAGTGGTAGCAGGCAGCAATGATATTACCAACACCTACTATCTCACCCCTTTCCGGAATTCACAGTATGATTTTCCTTCATATGCTGATCTTATGGTCGGCTACGCTTCCGATTTCATGCAGGTAAAATTTCACATTTTGGTTTTGTTTGTCTTGATGTAAAATAATTTTTTTATTTATGTAATTTTTTTATTTTTATTTTTAGTTTATCCATATTTGATAAAGTTACAGATTCAGATTGAAGTCAAGTTTTATATATAAATTATTTTTGTTAAATTTTAATATTTTTTTTCTTTGTAAATATTTTATGATAACTAAATATCAAAAAAATAAAAAATATTTTTTAAAAAATATTATACATCCAAAGGAACTTTGTAAAATATTTTATGTCAAAACTTAGATGTATGGTAATTAATTTGGTGTCACACTAGAGTATAAGATTTCAGTACGATGGAATGGAAAATTTTAAAAATACTCCCCGTACCGTCCTCCTGGGTTTTTCAATGGTTGATCTACCTGATTGGATGAATCAACCTAGGGAGTACTATATTCCGAAGTATTGTAAAACTTTGTTATACAGTTGCATTTAACAATTTAGAAAAATAACTATGTTTTTATATGATTGTGCAAAGGAGTTGTACAGATTGGGTGCACGAAGAATTGGTGTTCTGGGTGTGCCTCCAATTGGGTGTTTGCCATCGCAGAGGACTCTGTTAGGAGGAGTAAAAAGAGAGTGCGTAGCGAAATACAATGAAGCAGCAGATGTGTTCAACACCAAACTGTCAGATGAGCTCAGCTCTCTTAACACCCAACTTCCCGATTCAAGGATGATCTATATTGACATAGACAACCTCCTACTTGATCTCATTCAAAACCCAACAACTTTCGGTAAATTAATGTTATATTTATTACTATCCAAACCATATATACTTATATATATCTAGCATAAATTATAAAAATAATGGTCTTTTTTTGGCACCTTATTGGAGAAGGGTTGGCTCGAGTGTGTATAGATGAATCCCCATGCGTTTGTGTGCGCGTGTGAAAGTGAGAGAGAGAGAGGGAGAGAGAGAGAGAATGGCTCAAGTTTGTAAAGTCAACGGAGGGTAGGGGTGGTAAAGTTTGATACGATCGGCTAACACGATTCGAACAAGACACGAATTAAACGAATTTGGGTTGATTTTAAACGGGTTCAGGTTGTAAACGGGTTGACACGATTAACCCGTTTAATTAATCGTGTCGTGTTTGGGTTGGGAGGTTCAACCCATGTAACTCGTTTATGCTGGTTTAACTATACATGTCATAAGCATATTTCTATTTAAGTTCCAAAATTACTATCTAAACTTATATCTTATGATTTATTCTTTTGTAGATTAGAGATTGTTTAGTAATTTCGTTGAATTGAAACTTATATTTTTCTAGTATTTAATGTTTGATAGAGTATTGTTAATAATTTAAATAATAAAATATTTAATTTTATTAAACAGATCATTAAACGGGTTACACGTGTAACCCGTTTAATAAATAGATTAGGTTAGTATGAAAGATTCCTGATACGATTATTAAATTAGTCGTGTTCGGGTTGAGCTGTTTAGGAAAATATCTTTAAATTGACACGATGCGATTATAACCGGCGAACATGAATTGCCACCCCTAGTGGAGGGGGCAATTTGAGTATAAAAAATTTGAAGGGTAAATTTGTCATGAGATTTGTCAATATCCTATATAAACATCTTATATGGTTCAAAATTTATTTACCTTCCTTAAAGTTTTTATTTATGTAACAACTCACTGATAGAGGAGGCACCTAAAATTTTGAAATGTAGAGAGGTCTAAGTGGAATATTGACAAATCTCAAGACAGAGAAATAAAATCTACTCAAAATTAAAACAATGTTTTTTCCGGTCAAGTATCCCAAGTTTTGAATTTTTATTTATGATTTTCGAAAGTCGGACAAGGCCAAAAGTGCATTTATTTTTAATTTTATAATTTTTTTTTTCCTATATACACAAACTCATAAATATATATACTTGATTTTACTTTGATGGCAGGTTTTGAGATTGCCGATATAGGGTGCTGTGGGACGGGTACTATAGAAGTGGCGTTTCTTTGCTCCATGCCATGTACCGATGTGTCTAAATATGTATTTTGGGATAGCTTTCACCCTACCGAGAAGGCATATGGAGTAATTGTCCGTCAAGTCCTCAACAAATACATCAACAACTTCTTTGAGCTGTGACCATTATATTCACCTTGCTCGTTCATTACTTTCTCAACACTTTATAGTATACTTGGATAATAATAATAATAATAATAATATTTTTAAATTAGGGCACAACAATTATTTGTAAGGTTGATTGTCTCTATCTGCCAATTAATATGGCTTCTATGCATAACTTACTTAGGGTATATACGAGAATATTCTATATACACATGGTAGTAGACTAATAGTGGAACTCTTTGATTTTCATTTACAATCTATTTGTTGTGATAATTTTCATTTACAATCTATTTGTTGTGATACAAATTTGAGAGTGTATATATAATGCATGAAGACGTACACAACAACTTGCACTATTTAGCTTCCTTTACAAGCTCATTTTGTTGCTATATGTATGGGCTCATTCTTGTATTTTAGAAGACAGATATACATTAGAGAAATGAATAAAGTTCTCTTTCTATAGCAGTTCTCTCTCTATCAATATGTTGTATCTTTATAACGTGAATTTCTCTCTCTCTCCATCTTAACTCTATAAATCTCTTTTGTGATATTAATTTTGATAGACTATTAAAGTTTGCTTGTTTTGCTGAATACAACTGAGAATGAAAATTTTATTTTTCTTTCTCACCACAAAGAGTAGTCAATTAATTATTTATTATATCTGTCAATTGAGGAGATCGAAAGTAGTGCAACTAAAAAAGTAAGAGATTTATATATAAATATATAATATACAAGGCCGCGGTCGCCTTGGGCTTCAAATTTTAGACAGCCTTAAAATTTTTAGGCCCATTAGTGATAGGTTCAAAAAAAAATAAAAAAAAAACTTATGTCAAAAAAAAAAAATTAGACCCATTTCTATGAGTGAGAGGCTGAAATAATAATAATAATAAACTTTGGGCCCTTCAATTAAACAAATTCACAGCCCATTCAAAATTAGGGCCCTTAAAATTTTGGTAATTAAAATTTGAAATTAAATATGTCCCTTTACTACTTTATGTGTATGTTAGTGTGCATTTCAGTAGTTAAAGGTCCTCACATTAAGTTCGCCTAGGGCCTCTCAAGATTTTGTCAATCTCAGGCCGACCCTGATAATATATACACACGTGCATAAACATAAAGTTGTGAATTCCATTGAAAATCTATTATTTTATTTTATAAATTCAACAGTTGATTCAAAATATTGAGGTTTTATAGAACCATTTATTAAATTTGTGCTCAATTTCTTTAATGTACAAGGAATAAGTTGAATAACCCAACATTGCCTAGTTGTGCTTACCAGAGAAATTTTCATTTTATATGTAGCTTATTATTCTTTTATATATGGATAATCCAAGAAAGAGGTCACCGGCAACTTCCGATTTACGAGAATTGTAAGGTAACTATATACCTTGCCTATGTAATCAAATGTTTAGATAAGTGAAGATACGGAAAATGGTCTGGGCCGGGCACAACCCAGATCGTTAAGAATTGGATCTCGGAAGAACATTTGACCCGATCGAATAATTTATCAGGCCCAGCGTCCACTTAAATAGTCCTGAAACCTAATCTCGGAGAAAGGAGGTGGGCCGATATCCAAGACAAGCCGAAATGATCGGCCCAACATGGAGAACTGAAGGAGGAACTTCTAGAACAATTGTAAAATTCTATAAATAGAAAAAGGAAAAGAAAGGGAAAAACGGTTGAGATATTTTGAAGTATAAGAACTAATCTTTCCAAATTGAGAGAGTTTGTTTGTTGCATCTTCAATAAGCTTATTATATTCTATCTAATTACAATTAACTTTGAGAATATTTATCCTTTTATATTAGGAAGTTTTATTCTCTTATACAATTACAAAATCCACCATTAGCATCATGAATCATTTTTTTATGGTCCCGTTTCAATACATAATCTTTTATTGCTCAGAATAAATAGAGTTTTCCGAAAAGACCTGCTAGTGGAGGAAGACCTCCTAGGGATAAGAGACATAGGACTAAAGAGAGAGCCAAAAAAAGATCTTTTGTGTAACTTAGTCACACAATTCGCATTTGAGGTCACGCTCCCATGCACCGCACGCGGATCAACCGATTGGGAGCGAAATCGTGCAAAATTCGCGAATTCATTTTTCTGAATTTGCGAATTCAATTCTTGAAACCGCATAATCATATTTCTTCTTCTCTTGCAGCTCTTACCCCTTTCAAACCGATTTGGGCTTTCTTGCAGTCCAAATGCAGATTTCAGGTCGCTCATCTTCCTTGGGAGAACTTTTCTTGGATTGGGTGGGCGTTTGGCATGGCCATCTAGGTTTTGGGTTGGGCTTTAGTCATAGCCTTTTGTTTTTGTTCATATTTTGGTTGGGCTTTGTCCCGTGTATATTTTTAATTCATCAATAATATATATGAAGTATTTTTACTACTCCATAAAATTTATTTAATCAAAGTAATAATAACTAAAAATTTGATTATTTTTAATAATTTTAGAATAAAAATAACAAAATATAATATTTAATAATTAATGATAATGTATTAAGTGAAATAATTACATAAAAATGAATATACATACGCTCTCACGATGCTCTCACTCTCAACTAATTTTAAATTTGTCGCTCTCGCGCTCCCGCTTTCGTTCTCGCTTCTGTATTATGTGACTTGGGTTCTTAAGATATTTTGCTTTTTTAAAAGATTACCTGGGAGAAGATGTGTGTGCAACTTTTCCTTTGATTTCGGGGATGAGTTAAACTATAAATATTAGTTTATTGTGATCACTTGTCAACTCACCATACATATTATTTTATTGTGATCATCTTTTATTATAAAGATAAGACTTGCCTACTTTATATATATTATTTATTGTGATTATATTTTATTATAAAAATAAGACTTGCCTACCCATCAATGAGTTAAACTAAACATATTACCTCATTGGGCAAAAGAGCAAAAAAAAAAACCCCTTCAAATTATCTCATTGTTGCATAATGTTCCCTTAAAGCAAGTTGCTCCATTGAACTATCAAAAGTAAGCAAAATGCCTCTTTAAAGGCCACAAGAAGCTAGTTTCCGACCAACTAAATAGCACAATTACTAATTTACCCTTACTTTTTAATTTATTATAAAAATCAAAATATATGATATTATGAAATGACCACTTTGCCCCTATGTTCTTTCCCCTTCTTCTTCTTCTTCTTCTTCTTCTTTTTTCTTTTTTTTTATGGTTTAAAGTGAAGTTCTTTCATCAACGGACGTGAATTCTAATTGTTGGAACCAACTATTCAAATTGAGACAAAATTAAAAGAACTTTTCAATATTTTATCCCAAGCTTAGCTTAATTTCATCATAAAATTCCAATTTAACAGTGCACTGCAATCTTAATTCCCAGACGGGCCAGACCAAGTTGAGCAAGATTGTTCAACCTGGACAAATTTAGTATATAAATCCAAAAGAAGCACACTATATACAATACATGGTGAATCAGCAGCCTTGTTGACTACATGTATTTGTGTAGAACCATGGCTTCAAACCAAGGGATTCAAAATCATATTCCAAGACTGAAAACTTCTTATGGAGGATGAATAAAAACCCGAACCCAAACACTTACTTTTCTCAATTAAAACACAAAAAGTCGAGTGATGAAAGATGCAAGCACAGTTGGATCCGAGTTGGAGTCGCATTGAATTAAATTTTAATTCTAAGTTTTGTTAAATATTTATAGATATAATAGAGAATTAATTATATAATAGAATCTCTCATCTCTGTACTATAGTCATGTCATGAGGTACGTAGGTCGTTAATGAGAGAGAGAGAGAGAGCTCTCCTCTCACCGCCTTCAATGGAAGGAATGGGTGCTAATAACTGCCTCCATCTCCTCTTCCCGTTATACTCGCTGCCGGCTTTCCCTTTCCTCCGGCGAGATTGGAGTTCGTTAATTGGATTTGGGTATTGCGGAGACACTCCGATGATTGAACAAAAGAAGGGAAAAAACAGGTGAAAAAGTGGGTGAAGGTCAGGTTTTGCAGAGGAATAGAGACAGTTACTTGCACAAAGTATTACCATTTGATGGGCGACATCAGTGGAGAATATAGAGGAGGGGTGGTGGCAATGGTGGGTGGCGGCAGAAGGAAGAGAGAGAGAGAGAGAGAGAGAGAGAGAAGATAAGAAAATGCAGAGAAAAAAAATAATAAAAAAGGTAAAAAAATTAAAGGGTAAAGAAGATAGGGGCAAAGTGGTCATTTCATGATAGTATATATTTTGATTTTTTATAATAAATTAAAAAGAAAGAGTAAATTAGTAACTGTGCTCTTTAGTTGGTCGGAAACTAGTTTCCAGTGGCCTTTGAGATGACATTTTCATTGTGCAACAACGGGATGGTTTGAGGAATTTTTTTTTTTTTTTTTTTGCTCTTTTGCCTATATTTTATTATAAGGATAAGATTTGTCTACTCACCATAACTAAATCATCTCTGTTGATGATCGAATCACAATGTACAAATAAATTGTAATTATAAAATCAAAAAAGTTATAAATAAGGACAAAACCCTCTCTAATTTCCTTATTTAATTACAAAATCAGGAAAGTTATAAATAAGGACAATACCCTTTCTAATTTCCTTATTTATCACCTTCTTGATTTTATAATTGCAAACTACATCAGCTATTAGTAACAATACCATCTCTAATTTTCTTATTTATCACATTCTCGATTTTATAATTACAGATTATATATGCATTTATGATTAGACTATATTAGCAATCAATAGAGATGATGTGAGTAGGCAAGTCTTATTTTTATTAATATATATACTTTCATAATTAACTTTTATTAATAATTACCCATAATTTGTTTGAAAAAAAAAATATTTATAAACAAATGCATATGTGGACCATGTGGCTTTGAAAATTGTAACTAACTCTATGCAGGTTTCAATTTTACTTTCGAAGAAGCTCTTACTTTATGCGATACATATAGTCATACAGAGGTGTCTCCTATACACATGATTAAAGTGCGTTTGTTTTGATATTATAATTGAAAAATGTGACAAAAAAGGTCTATCACCATCTAAGACAATGGTGGGCAACACTAACCATTATGACACTGATTATTTTGTCATAAATAGGTTTATTATTAGATATAAATATGCATTGGGTGATTTTTAAAAGTTTATTTCAATAATTAAATGAAGTCCAAATTAAGCATTTGTTAACCCGTTGAAAATCTTATTCAATATAGTTTGTGATTTTTGTGATAAATGTATATCTTAGTTTAACAATGAATATACGTTCAGTGTATTATTTTATTCTAAATGTGTTGTTTTTCATTTATAATAGGGTAAAGTGCATTAAACCCCCTTGAACTATTGGTCATTTGCAAGAAACCCCACTAAACAACTAAAAACCCCCCTGAACTATGATTTTGTTACAATTTACCCCCTTGAACTATTGGTTATTTGCAAGAAACCCCCTTGAACTACAAAAAACCCCCCCTGAACTATG